TGATTTCTTGTCGTTTTTAAAACAAACGTTTTAGCGGTAAGTGCCTGAACATCCATTAACAGACTTAGCAGTGCTTTCTTTGGGCTCAGTCCTGAAAAGCGATCAAAAATCCTACTGAGAGCGCAGCTTACTGACTGATACCCCGGCGATCTCGAAACTTTTCTCGATACCGTTCTGTAAGTTTAAAAAAAAACTTGTCGATCTGGAGTTTTCTCGAAATTTTAGGATACAAAACGAAAACTGACTGTTTTCGATTAGAAACAGCACAAGAAATTTCATGGGCAGCAAGAACTAAGAGATTTATTTTGCGACTAAAGTTCGACGCTTTTTTTTTCTTTGTATTAAGAGTAATCAATATCTTGCTACCAACGACACAAGCAATTGCTTGTATGTTGGATTGATGAAGCATGAATGTTAAATCAAATTTCAATAAAATTCTGGGCAATAACAATACACATTTGAAATCAGCGATATGTTAACGTCAAAGATGAACAAAGAAACACGACTTCCTTAAAGTGAAGTTAAATGTAATAATAAAAAAAGTTCAATAACTATATGGCGGTACATATTCTCACAGCATCTCTGGCTCAGCTGAAGATGCAGTGTAAGTGCTTTTAAACGCTAACTCTTTAAAGTTTTAAATCCGGTACGAAGCAGTTAAAATTTCTAACAATTTTTGTCGGTGGCCTCAACAGTGATTAGACGATCAAGACTAGCTTTGTCATCGACAATTAACTTAATAACTTAAGCTTTCTTTGTTTGAACACCGAGCAGATGCAAGCGTGTTTCTCTTTTAAAACGCAAAATAATATAAAATCCTCGACCCCCCTCACAACTTATGTTCATGTATCATAAAGTAACGTGCGACATATCAATGGTATTGACATTTGTGATACACAGTTGGTATTTATTCTAATGCCAGTGCTATACATAAATACATGGAAGAAGCTATGTACTTTACAGTTTTATCCTTGTTCGTCCTTCTCAGTGTTTCAGACAATTCATTAGTTTTTAAAACGCTTCTTAATGCCCATTCGGGAAAAAAACGCTGATTATTCTTAAGACACAATCTTCCTTTCACGGCCAATTCTCAATTGGGCATTGTGTAATGAGGGGTTACATTTTGCGCTTAATGGGCTTATCACGCAGGTGCTAATATCTAATGAATCAAACTAACGCGGTGCTATACTAATTATTCGCGCTGTTAGACAAATATTTAGTATCAAACTCAAAGTCTAGAACTCACTGTGGTGCACGCTAAACAACACAACATTAGTAATTGCGTGAACCGTTGTGAAACCCACAGGTGGTCTTGTTCTTCAACCGTAACCGTTTCAGTGTTTGCACCGAAACAAAACTCGACAAAATAGTAACTTCATCCAGTTCTATTCTAAGCTGGATGGAGAGAATTAACTAATAAGGCAACTGAAATCACACGAGATCTTCAAGTTTAATTAATTTGCCACAGAAAGTAGCGGTTTATCTTTTGCCTTGTAAAATTATTACGGTTCAATGCTGGAGATTTTGTTCGGAGATAAAAGATCACTTAAGCCCATTAAAAATCCTATGTAAGGGTTAAGGGGCGGAACCTTTCGTGCGAAGCGTGAAGTGAAAGATATCCTGTAAGCTTCCGACAAAGTTAAACACTTAATTCAATGTGATTTAGTTCCCTCAGCAAGCTTTTAAGAGTATGCTAAGGCTCAATTATTTGAATATCAACTGTATGAACTTTCGGTATGAATTGATACGGGCATTAGATCATGTGGCGTGTGTTTAAGTTTTCCTTTTTTTATAAACAAACTTAACGCTTTTACGAGATAAAGAACTTTGCGATCTATCTTGAATTTATCAAACTCTTTTGAAAAAGGCCTGTTTTGAAAGAAGGAGGATGACAGAAGAACGTGAAAGTCTTCACATCAATTCATGTAGAGAAGAACTTACATAAAAACTAAATACAACTATGCACTTAACCCCTCTCAATCTTGAAATTTGTGTTACAATGAATATAAACCGCAGTTCTTCGTTTTTACGAAGTGGGTTTTTTTTAGTTTTTACATTAAAATGCGTGACTTGTTGAATCCGAGAGTTGAAGTGCGAACGAAAATAGGGCGGTTTTTCACCACAGCTTTCGGTGGCAAATAACGCAGTTCGAATGAAACTACTGAACAATGATCCTTGGAAAGCATAAGTTTCAATTGGAAAATGTTCGTATAGCGAAGCGTAAAGCCAGCTTTACAGGTGAAAAACGGCACAAGTGAGATTGATTTTATTGAAAAGGTGGTCTCTTAACATAATTATACCGAGTATACTTAAGTGAAAGAACCCCGCAGTGAGAAGCACACTGGAATCTTTTCAACGGAACTTTTTGGCGTGAAGATCTTAAAACCATGTTCATTCCAGTTGTATCATTAAATCGACGAAATATGGAATAACAAGAAGGCGGCGAATTCGGCTCAGTATTCTCTCGAACAGTTTCAATTTCGAATCCACAAGCCACAGAACAATAGTTTGGCGAAGTTCTAAAAATAAAAAAAGCTCACAGTAATCACATTTTACAAGCGTTCTAATATTCCGAGTTTTAGTACAGACGATTGCGATCAAATTAAAAATGTATCAAGTGTATTCATCTGTTATTACGTATTCAATATCCTCGAGGCAAGCTGATCACACTCATGAAGTTGATATTCGCAGAAATGCCGAGGAAAAGATCGTAATGCCTCCACAAAATAAAACGAAATTAAATGTGAATGGCTCCAGCAACGAGTAACCAACTCTTAAATCGACTGGAGGAAACTATACATCAAATACCTTTTGCATTTGTACCGACCAATTCCGAATTAAATTTATATCTTGGTGGCAAAATAAAGTTTAATGCTAATAGTTATGATTTGGCATTATTTTTTCTCATGTCTACATATTATTGTATTATTTCGATATTGACTTTTCCTCAAACACTCAAAAACACAAAATTTCCGGTTTAAATCTGTATTTGGAAAAAACTTAAAATTTGAAACAATTTTTTTACCGCGATGGACAACATAACTAAGAATTAAGTAATTTTATAAACCAAGTTTGAAGAAATGCCCCAACGTAACTTTTATTTTGCCTCAAGAAATTAGCTAAATAGCCCTAGCCAGAGTTTGAAATATTGTACGCTTGACAAGTAAATATGGAATTTTATTTTACACAACTGTCGTGCGATTGTCCCTCATTCTATACTACAAATAAACGAAACAAAAAAGATTATCTTCTTTTTCCGCTTTATTTGAATATCTTTCAAACAACCCTCGATATTTATTAAGATCCTATATTTTTAATCTCCTGTCATGAAAAGAATTCCTCTCTGTTTTCAGATTCAATTCCACGAAAACACAATTTTCCGGAAAGTCGCGCGCGCGTAACATTTCATTCCACTTTAGCCTAGTTCTTCTTGTTATGCTAATTTACAACCGAAATTGTGTTTTGCTTTTAAAATTTAGCTTTACAGACTTAAACTCAAACAATTTACCCCTCACAGGTAATTAAATCATATGATTAACCTGGCCTTACGATTAGTTTTTTCGGTCTTTGTTGATAAATCTAGATGTCTTTTCCGTAAAAGCTTTTGGCCGTAGGAAAAAAAAACACACAACAAATGTTCGGAGAAGCGGGCAGAAGTTGTCGTTTTGAAACCATTACCGAGACGTCTGCTAAAGTTACCTTTCACAGTCTGAAGAAGTTTTAAGTTGGTCGTTTAGTCACTTAATGATTATTGGTAATTCATGGAAGTATAATGCTGACAAAAAATTCGTCTGAAATTATGAAAAGAGACAAAATTTCCGTTTGGACAATTTCGTGTCAATGCGCAATCAAGTGGTTTCCGACAGGCCCCAATTGGTAAACTTTGCCGCCCTGCAGGTCGTCATAAACAATCTGCCTTTGGAACCTTTTTGCAACCTTTCACTTAAAAGGATATAATTTTTGTGCCAAGTTCATGGCCAAAAATAACATCATCGGATAGTTTTTGTCTTGGGGTCAGAAAAAAAAATAATTGCTAGAGGTGAAAGAGGGAGCGAAAACGTTTTTTCAGCTATTAAATCGAAGAGAAAGTGTCTCCTTTTTTAATTAACTGATAAATTGATTATCCATTACATTAATGAAATATCTAAATACACTCTGTCTCGGTTGACTTCTTAAATATAGATGTTATTACGCTTTATGAGGCCATTTTAGTTGTCTCAATGGGTAAACATGTCATGTAGAAAAGGCACTGTTTGTCGACAGTCAATGTGCAATATTCCTCTGAGAAAACAATTTCCTGGAGATTTCCCTCGAAACTCAACTAAAACCGCAAACAAAAGATCTTATCTTCGTAAGCTTGCTAAAAAAAACCAGGCTTCCCGAAAACACTCGGTCTTAAATTTTTTAAAATAGTCATGGCGATTTTACATGATTATTTTTTTAAAAAAATTTAAGATGCTTGCCTACCGAACTATTTTGAGGATGATAGAAATTCTTAACCGTTCTATTCAACCGTGTTTATTTCCTCAAATTTACTTCGAGTCAGTAAATGCTGACGCTATTTGCTGAAAAGCTCTCAGTTTTCGCTTGCAAATGGCCCTAGTTAATTGTTATGAAGTGTATAAATACAATTAAACGAGGCGTAAATTACGCTAATAACTAACAAATGTCTTTCACTGCTCCATTGAAGTATTTCGCACCTGGACCATCTGCGCGCAAAAAGCCAATCAAATGCAGAAATCGATCCCAGCTGGGCCATTCTACCAATCACAGTCGAGGCGCGTGTGTCACAAACACAGTTAGGCAAACAATCGGAAAAGTATCCGTGTTTTCAATTCTGCTTCTTTAAGAAAAGTGCAATTTGCATCAACTGATACGAAAACAATTGTTCCTCTTAACACCACTTCGTTTCCGTGCTTGAAAAGGGTATAAATGTCATAAACTTAAATATAACGAGCCACAGAAAAATGTTCTAAGTTTACACATCCAAAACCTTATATTCCTTGTCTTCAGCAAAGCTTTCGGAAATCTAAAACGACTTAAAATCGAACTCCAGTTGAAGGCAATATATCACGTCTTTGACGCCTGGAATTGAACAATTATAATCCACGGTTTCAACTGTGTCAAATGTGGAATACTAATAACCTTTGTTAACAAATGAACTCTAGGAATAATCAACGATATTTATTATCTCCAGGCTCCGTAAATAATAGCATGTGAATGATCAGATCATATCGATAAAAGCTCTCTTTCAATTTCCTGTCCATATAAACCACGCTGGTCGTACCCTTAAAGAAAAGCAAACACATCTTTTCACTGAGAGGACCCAACCTGCCAAACAGAGCCCAACATGCAGAATTCATCCGCTTTCAGCGTGGACTCTCTTATGGGGAAGAAACCCGTCGAAACTAAAGCAAACGATCTGGAAAAGGAAAGCGAAAGAAAGTCCGCTTTTTCCGTTGCCCCGCCGTTGACTAAGCGCGAATTTCATCCACCAAGCGTGTGTAACTGCCAGCCTTGTCAGCAAACTGCCGTGCCAACCGGGTTTACTGCCATTAGTCAGAGTGTAGCGGAGCCTCGTTTTATGTCACTCCAATCCATGGCTGGAGCAGTGACAGTCCCTGCTCCCGTCTATCTTCCCAAAGGTAAGTGAAATTTTGAACTGTTAGCAAGCGCTTTGACAGCAAAGGACGTGTCGGCTACAAAGGGTACTCAATGAGACTCGAAGTTCGTTTCAATACACAGTGCAAAATGTTTCTTGATTAAGTAAAATATGTCATTTGGCTTTAGAACTCTATGGCCGGAAAACTGTCAAATGATTCAGGAATTACTTAATTCTCAATGACCCTTTCGTCTCGAAAAGTAGTTCAGTTTTGACAAAGAAAGAATAATCAACCGAGTCCATTTTGAACTATTAATAACATACGTGTTTCCATATCGAGAAACAGAAAGATAGGTGGAAAATGTTTCAACTATATACTGTATTTATTCGAATAGCCATTTTAGACCGCTCGTTTTTTTCCGTATATTAAAAAACAATTTGTGATAAAAATGTGTTCTTTTGTTTTTACTTGTTTGTCATATTAAGTGCCTAAAAGAAGAACATGTACTGCAGAAAGCAACAAATATTCTTTGGTTACGATCAGGATAAAAGCAGAAAAAGTGCAATTCATAAGAACTGGAACACAGCTTTCGTCCTACAAAACATACTTCCATTGGCTATCGATAGATTTTCTTTCCTTTTGAAAGCTAGTCAAATTTACGGCCAATTAACTTTAGTGCCTGTAGTTCCTACGTGAGAAACAAAAGTCTCCCCAGTATATTTTGCTGGGGACTTTAACAGTGTGAGAAAAAACCGTCAGTAATTTTTAAAGTACTCTATATCTTGGCCCTTCTTTCCTCTATCTTTTGTATTATATCCATTCGGCTCTTAACAGTGTTAAAACAAACGTGTCAAGTTTTGCCAAAACGCTCGGAAAACGTTGGAAAGAACGTTAGTAGGGGAAGGAATTCTAGCATTGGCAAACCATCACAATTCTCGACTCACTCGTTTGCCTACATGCGATAAACAGCGAACGTTAAATGAATTAACGGCGCGTAACAGATGGAGTGAAATCTTGCAACTCAAAGAGAAAGGCATTTATTCTTTTACGCTTAATTCTCTGCAAGACTAGATCAAAGAGTCTATAGCATCGATGTCGATAAAGGTTCTGTGTGTACTTGGGCGTGGTGCGTTGTCATCTTGTATTCCTTCAAAAAACCGCCCTTTATCTCCATGCAAGGAAACTCTTCAGTCACTTGGTTACCAATTTTTTGATCACGATGTTTTCAAAACGCGCTCAATTATTAGTCCCTTAGGTACTTCAGGAGAAATAAAATCAATCTTTTATTTTTCAAAAGGTGCTACATGCTGACTGCCAGATCATTGACGGTGTTGTTTACGAAGTATCTGTGTTAAGAAAAAGATGTATTTTTTTCAACCCGGAAATAGATATAATCGCTTTCAAGGCATTCGCTATGCCCCATAAATGCCAACGTTTGATTCAGTTATATTTGTTGCTCACACTTAAAAGCGTGCTGTTAGCGGTACAGTTAAGCTAAATGGCTAACATCATGTTAACCCAATTTATGACATTTTTATTCCAGCCGCGAGTCGCTGTTTGATCTCCATTTAGCAAGTCATTTTTGCCGAGTGAAATAAAACCCCATACTGACTGAAGAAACGAATGATTTTAAACCAATTCAGGTCCCAAATGATCGACAACTCGAAAAAAGGGATATTTTAATAAACACGTTGATGATATTTAATGGTTAGTCACTCAGTCATAAAACGTTAGCAATGAACTATATTCGTCCAACAAACAAAATTCTAGTCTCTGCCTTCATCACCGTACGCACTAACCATGAGAACACTTCTGAAAATGGCAGATGACACAATCACGTTTTTGTTGTCATTTCCAAGGTCAGTAGAAAATAGTTTTGTTTGTCCAAGTTCTTTTGATCACGTGTTGGCGTAGCGCATTTCCTAAAGAGCCATTTAAACGTAGAGTGCCATGTTCATAAACAAAAGCCATCACACAACAGTTCTCACCGACATAATTAAGTGGATATCTTTAATTGTTTGTTCTGGCCCACTGTTAGGAGAAAGAAAAGGTTAACATTTCTAATGGACTGCTCATTAGCGCGCGCAGAAATATGTTGAAATTTATGCGGTTATTTATGGGAAATTATTCAGGGCTGTTACAACAACGCATGAACAATTATTTTCGCATTCTATAAAGGATTTTTTCTAACAAGGAAGTGAAGATCATATAGGCTGCAATCGGCAATTTCTAGATTTTGTTTGATTGCGATATTCTGTTAGAATGGCCGAACAATGTGCCTAAAATGGCATTCTTTCTTCAAGTTTTCCGGATATAAAGCATTTTTCCCAAATGAAACACATCTTTCAATTCCCACATTAAAACATTCGATTCGAATTTGCCGTTGGATAAACTGCCGTAATTGTTCACATTTCCCGTCATAAGTCCACATTTCCAGTAATTTTACCTAGACTGTAAATGTTTATAGCAGAAACACACGTTTAATGTTTAGCCACGACAATTATGCTTGAATCAGTGAGATCTTTGAACTATCACCCGCATTCCAACTCACAACCCTTGAATTCTCTGTACAAATGTCCTATCAATTAAACTATGAAATCGAATTTTTAAAGACTGTATTTTTGAAATATAATAATCTCATTTTGTTAAATCTTACTTTCGTAAATAACAATAACAAGACAATTAACGAGTCTTTTTGTCTCTAACGTTCAAGTTATTTCAATCATTTTATCTTCTCCTGATTTCACTGCTTTAAGCAATTGGCAGGACGCATTTTGACCAACTGAAATTTGATTTTCACTAGTGATTTTCTGTTTAACTATCAGGTGCTTTTAAATTGATTTTTGTGGGGAAATACAACAAGAGGATGTGAAACAAATTAGGCCCCAAATAAACTCCGTAGCAAAGCAATATCGAATGCATTCGCTCTTTAGATGAGCTTAGATGGTCAAGGTACATCGTAACAGCAACATTTTAGTCAATTTGTGCATCTAAGAAACTGCTTTGAACGTTTAAATTCGTCGCATTGCCTTTTTTCTGGTGTCCTTTTTTACCTAACTAAACAAGCCACATTTTGGCCGTGAGTGCTTTTGACGTGTGAACGGATGCGAAAAGGACGTAGGCAAGCTTTATGGCTACAGTTTGCCATCTGTCTCGTTCGATCTCAACCTGGTTCCTAGGCTGCTCCGGTGAGGAAGAGAGAGGATCCTGGGAACGGGGTTGGTTTGATCTTTAACTTGGGATTGTAGCGTTCTTAACTTAACCTTACCGACTTCTTATTTTATTCTAAATATTGACTTTATTTTGTTATCACAGCTCCCCAGAGACGCAAAAGAAAAGAGAGCAAGACCCGACGACAGCGTACGACCTTCACGAGCGAACAGACACTTAAGCTCGAGCTTGAATTCCACCAAAACGAGTACATCACTCGCTCTAGGCGTTTTGAGCTCGCAGCCTGCCTCAGTCTGACTGAAACACAAGTGAAAATATGGTTCCAGAACCGCAGAGCGAAAGACAAGCGCCTAGAGAAGGCACAAATGGATCAGCAGCTGAGAATAGCAAGTTACGCTGCTGGAGCGGGCATCACCTATCCGTCATCTTACTTCAATTATTACTCCCCCCACTACTACAAGAACAATCCCGCCATGCCCCAGGTGCCCGGCAGCATCAGCCAGAGAGTTGTATAAAGTTCAAACTTTGGGGAGAGGTGTCAGGGAATCTTCACTCTTGTAAATATAACTTTCGTTTCTATGAACGATTTCGTTTTTAAATGCTCACGGAGACAACTCACAATTTACATTTTAAAATGTAAAAATGGTCTATACGCTGCCCTAAGTAAGGAGATATGAAATGAGATGTAAAGAAATATTTTACAATGTATAAAATCAGTTGCTTTGAAATCGACGAAACCTCAATGAATAATAATTTAGTAAAGCAGAAAAACACTGAATTTGTAATAGCATAACAAAACGAAAAGGATGGTTATAATTGCAGAAGACTAAGACCCATAAGAAGATTAAGATCCCGAAAATAGCGAACTTAGAAAGTTTAGCTATAGATTTATTAATAGAAGGTATGCCATCCATACTTATTTGAACTAGCTCGCGGTAAACATGCATATAGACATTTCTGGATTTTTCAAGTTTCTCAGATTGCAGCATGACAAGAAAGATATTATTCAGTTAGTGGCAGTTGACACACGGTATACATAGTTCACACATCATAAACCTGGTGGATTCCACTACCAGAGGGGTCTTTGTAGTCCGGAATCATCTGCCCTAGGTAGACCATCAAGGAAAAAATTGTTTCCCGGCCGGCAGGCTATGTTTGACTCACTGACTGAAAAATGCCTCAGTTCTCGACACATTTAGTAGAATTAAAATTTTTTAAGTGCATCATAAGTATCGGCTTTTTAAATTCACAAACGACGTTATCAGGTTGTCTTTTGAATTTTATCTATATGTCTGGATTTATGAAAACCGTGTCAATCTCAAAACAAGAAACCTGCCACTTTTCCACGAAATACACTGGCTTTTCAATCAATCGACGCCTGTCAACCTGTCACTGCGGAACATGGAAACCCACCTTGCTTGAAGCTCCTCAACTGAACACATTTCACCTTGCCAGGCTTTCCTGCAAAGGAAATGACGACTTTTTAGTTCCAAAAGCAACTCTTTGACCCACCCACCCCGCTCAGTTGATGATGACTTCCGGGCCCGATCTGGTAGCCAGACCTTGCCCTCTATGTGGAACTCCCCTTGATATTATTCCCCTGGTTTTAAAAAGAGCAAGCTTTGCACCATTTTGACAGCGTCTTCACAAATCCAGACATTACAGAGATCAGTTAAACCTTGTTAGCATCCCGAGCCTTTCTTTTCCCTTTTTTTTTCACTATTGTCTCTCAATCTCTCTAATTACTGTTTGAATTCACAACTCTATGGAAAATATATGCAGAAAATATTGAGGACATGTTGAACTAAGGTACGCTCAGTGTTAGATTCTATTCAATTCAATGTTACTTTCAAACATAATTATCGGCAACCATGTTGAAACAAGATGATAAGGTCCCAAGTGGTTGATTAACTTTGCCTGTAACTCACGTACAAATCATCGAGGGTACTTAGAAATTTGAACACCGAATGCGAAAGCAATCACACTAACAGTGAAACACAAAAACTGCGACTAGAACTCAGATCATTGGATTTGATGTGACTGATTCTCGTATGATCCGATGAAGGGGCTTGATTATTAAAAGGAACAGGTTACAAAAACGACGAACACAACTCTAGAAAGGCGGCAACAGTTCCCTCTTTGATAGCAAGTATGAAAGTAAACTCCGTACCCGGGTTGCGCCCATAAACAATTCCCCAATACATCCGGGGCTTTATACACCCAGGTGCATGAGGGCGGAGGGAGGGACTGTGAGAGAAAAGTGTCTTACCCAAGAACACCACGCAACGACATTGGGCAGGGCTCGAACTCACTCCTCGGAATTTCATGGCCTGACCTCAGTCTAAATTACAAAGCACACTAATCAACAAGCAATTGTAGAGCTCTTCGATGAGTTTCGTTTTCTCTCACTGCGAGCCCGCTTTTTCAGTCAATTTTTTCACACCAATTCTTCGGAAGAGTTTTCAGATAAATAGATAATGTGATCTCAAATAGATTCATTCAACTTGTTCCCCCCTTAAAAAAAAACTTAAAGTCATCGAAAAAAATAAATCATTCTACAATATAAACTAATGGCATTTTTAGACATTTCGATTAGCTGAATGAAATCTTAAAGACAACAGAAGAATTGTGATAAATCTGGCTGAAGATTCATCAAGGGAATTCGAATTATTGTACTTCTCGGGATCTGAGTCAGTTTGAGAATTTCTTAGTACATCAAGACNCAATTCTTCGAAAGAGTTTTCAGATAAATAGATAATGTGATCTCAAATAGATTCATTCAACTTGTTCCCCCCTTAAAAAACAAAAAAAACTTAAAAGTTATCGAAAAAAATAAATCATTCTACAATATAAAATAATGGCATTTTTAGACTATTTCGATTAGCTGAATGAAATCTTAAAGACAACAGAAGAATTGTGATAAATCTAGCTGAAGAGTCATCAAGGGAATTCGAATTATTTTTACTTCTCGGGATCTGAGTCAGTTTGAGAATTTCTTAGTACATCAAGACAGCATCTTGTTATTATGCATTGATATCTCCTCTCAGCTTTTTTATTGGATCAGTGGAACGTTAACTACAGTGACAATGAAATGATCATCTGATCACATGGGTTCAATTTTAATTTCGACACGTGCGATCGAAATTATAATGCTACAGACGTGAAGATGAGTTAACCTACTTCTCTAAAGACGTGTCGTAGCACGTTTTTACGAACAGTCAAAAGGAAAAAAAAACAATGAAAAATTAACAAGAAATTACAGAGGGCTGGAAATAATTATGATCTGCTCATTGGTTAGTAAAATAAATAAAACATAAATAAAAATAGATTACTCGTGAATAAATTACTCTGGAACGCTTTATTCCGGAAGAGTGTAAAAGTTATGCAAATTAGCTCAAATTGTTAATCCTGTTTGGAGTAGATAAGGAAACCATGTAAGTGTGCAAAAATCGCATAAAACCTAATTGGTATCGCATTAAAAGGATAATGTGATTGAAAATGTCTTTATTTTGAAACTTATCATAGCGTTAATAAGATTTATTAGGTTTGTGGGTAGGTTGTTATCTCCTGAATAACATTACATCACAATCTCCTTTTCCTAGTCAAACCACATTTGTATATCAGCTCTGA